TGTGTGTGTGTGTGTGTGTGTGGTGTGGTGTGTGTGTGTGTGGTGTGGGTGTGTGTGTGGTGTGTAGTGTGGTGTGTGTGTGGTGTGGTGTGGGTGTGTGGTGTGGGTGTGTGTGTGGTGTGGGTGTGTGTGTGGTGTGGTGTGTGTGTGTGTTGTGTATGTGCGTGCGTGCGCACACAGAGAGAGAGGGGGAGACTCAGTGCAGGCAGAGGCTGCCCACAGTCACAGGGCCCAGTGGTGGAGGGGCGGGGACTGCACTTGGCAGCTCCTGGCTCCGCGCTTTAGCCGTGAGGGGTGAAACCACGTTTTACATTCTGCTTACAAAGTACTGCCATGTTTGGCCCTATCATTACTTCCACGCCAGTAGCACTGTTAATCTGTCTTACTTTAGGTGTTGTGGATGGAGCTCCTTATTCCATGATTTCTGACTTCCCTTGGTTGAGGTCACTGCGGGCAGCAGAACCCAACAGTTTCGCCAGATATGATTTTGAAGATGATGAAGAAAGTAATTATGACCTGGCTTGACTTGTATTCTCTAGTTTGGGTCTATCCTTCTCGTTAGTTACTTAGTATTTTGTTTGAGAGTTAGGAGCAGTGCAACTTTTAATTGCTTCCCATGTAAACGTTTTTTTATTTGCTTTTTGTTACTGTCTGGTTCTCCCCTTACAAAAAAATCAGCTCTAAATCTGCATGGTAGATAATCAGTTGACTTAACAGGAATGTATGAAAGTTGGTAGGAAAGGTTTCTTCAGACAGTTTCCTACTTAGATTTTTCTATTGCCTAGATGTTTATAATTTTGTCATTCCCTGTTCTGGTTATACTAATTATTATTCTGCTACTTATAAGCTACTTATCGTTGCGTAGCATGTGGGAACTTAAGGATTTAAGTGTAGAGTAGATATCTGGGGAAAAACCTGAAGGAACTTGTGAATATAGTTCTTCTAAATGTTAGCATATTTGAATATCCATTTGTAGGAAGTACTTAAGATATATTTTCTGAGGATATAGACTTCATAAGCTTACATGTCTGTGCATTTGACTTAACATGTCTGCTGTGTTTTCACCTTGTGCCTGCAATTATGTATGCTGTCTCAGGCCTCAGACCTGGTATATAACTAAACTGATGGGGACCCTTCCATGAGCTGTGCTCACATCCATTGTGCCGCATCACAGTGTGTAGGCATAGTTTGGGTACCAGCTTATTCATGGCCACTTTTCTGAATGAGTCGGATAATCATACATGTTTCCCATTTTTTAATTTCCAAGGCACCATCTATGCTCCTCGAAGGAAAGGGCAGCTGTCTGCAGATATCTGCATGGAAACAATAGGCGAGGAAATTTCAGAGATGCGCCAGATGAAGAGGGGCGTGTTTCAGCGAGTGGTGGCGATCTTCATCCACTACTGCGATGTCAACGGAGAGCCGGTTGAGGATGACTACATTTGACTGGTCCCTCTCCCTTCCCAGCTGCTTTTTGGTAGAAAGCTGTGGGGACCGTCCAGCTGCCAGGGAGTTCCACAGGGTCTTGGGGCATGTGGTTGGCCTGGCTCAGTTTGGTATATAAGAAATGTATAAGGAGCATTGAAGTTGTATACAAAGATTTGTACATAGAGGAAATATACAGACACTTCCTAACTACCAGCTTTATATCATATGTTTATACAGTTTAATTTAAAAATTCATTTTAATGAAGGCAGATAATTGGAAAGAGTTCGTTTTGTTTGTTTTTCTGACTTAGTTCATAAAGTGTCACTTTTGGTTGAGCTCCCCCCCCCCCCCGTTTACTGTCTTCTTAATAATCACTGTCACCCACTTCAATTGGTGCCTTTCCCTTCACGAACGAAGCTGAGTAAACCTGTTGAAGGTCTTGGTCTTGTGTGCTTTTTTGTGTTATTATTAAAACACCAACTAAACCCTGTAGTCAGAGGCGGTATATGTTTGTACAAAATCTTTGTGCTTCTTTTTTCTCTCGGTATTATAGTTGCCATATTTCAGAAAATCAAGAAAATGACTCTTGAGTTAAACCAACTTGAGTTGGAGGGAGAAATGGAAAAGTTTCCAAAGTATTTCTAGTTATTTATTTCCACATTCAATTGTGTATATGCTTTATCTTGAATATAAAAATAAAAGTTTATTAAAAACTTTCTTCTTGACGTGGACCTAATCCCTCTCTGTAAAGAAGAGTACCAAGTACTGCACAGAAAAGGCGTGTGTAGAGATGTGTCTATGGTTCTAATGTAATCCAGCTTCTGAGATCTCTCTCTTTTTTTTTTTTAAGTTCTTTGGCTGCAAGATGTTCAACTTAGAGCTCCATACAGAGGACCCTGAGGACAGCAGAATTGCCCGGAGTATCTGCCTGGTCACTGGGAGATGGCCTTTCTCCTTTCTTAACGAGAAATTAGCCTGATCTGGTAGTGATACATGCAGTATTAGAGTGTTAAGGTCAGGAGCAAAAAACATTTTAGAGCAACACCTGCCTTTGAGGATGGCTGTGGTACTTGCTAGCTGAGTCACGTCCAGGGACTGTTTAAACCGAAGGTACATGGAAAATGTAATTATGGTCTGCATGAGGTGTGAGGGTCCTTCCCTGACGTTAGGTACTGCGTTCAGTCACCTCTTCATTACCTTGTTTTTAAACTCCACTAACCTTTTTAACTAAAAGAGTGTGTTCTGCACTCCAGCTTAGAATTGTGATCAGTAAAAGGCAGGGAACAAATTACAAAGCATTCTGGGTGCTTCAAAATAATATAGAACCCCCAACACTCAGCTAAGACTAAACCTGGTTTTTCACTGTAATAATCAAATCATCTAAGTAATGCTTAGGCTAGCCACTAGAGGCCGCTGCTCTCTAAGTGTTGGTTTACTGGTGTCCCTGCCGCCCCCCCCGCCCCCGCCCCCCCACTGTGAACACAAGTCCGAGGACCACCGGGGAGCTGACGTCCCTGAAGGCACCGGCACAGGTGCAGTAGCAGCGGCAGCAGCTCGGACCGCGCCGCCCGCAGTGTGCATCTGAACGGCTGGGCAGTGGTTGTCCCGCAGCAGTCGGCATGCTTTTTCTGTACGGGGCCAGACAGTACTTGAGGCTCCCCCGTGCCAGCTCCTCGGGTCCCTGCTGTGGGAAGGCAGCCAAGGAGCCTCCGAATGGGCATGGCTGGGTCACAGCAAGACTTCAGTTATGACCACAGATTAGAATTTTACATAGTCACCACAGCACAAAGTACCTCTTCCCGACCACTCAAAAGCCATTCTTAGTTGTAGGAGGGTTTGGCCCCAGGCTGTCGTTGGCGCACACCTGCAGCGGAGAACCCAGTTGGCCTGTTCTTCCACCGTGTTAGGTGTCACCAGCTGGTGCTGCCATGCTGGGCATATTTTTAAAAGAAATGTTCCATGGCTGGATTCCTGAATTAATGTCAGTGTTAGAGGGTCTTGTCTCCCGAAGGGCTGCCGGCGGTGTGTCTTACTCTGGTATAGCCGACGAAGCTGGCACCACAGTTCTCGGGGATTTCACATTTGGCATCGGAAGCCCTGGGTTCTTACTCTGATTCCTTTGTCCGACTGCTGAGTGGGCTGGACGCAGTCACAACGCCGACCTGAGCCTCAGTTCCTCATCTGCAGAGCGGTGACAGCGCATAATGCCCGCCCCACAGGCGGCTCCGGGGGTGCAACGAGAGCGTCGGTGCACCGGAAATGGGGCGTGACTATCGCCCCTAGCACAGTTCCCTCCATTATGAAAGGGGCCGTCACTACTCTCCGCAGAATCTTCTGTCCCTGAGACCATATCCCAGGATGGTAGGAAGCAGAGAGCTCGCGAGGCCTTGGGAGGAAATAATGAACCCAGGAAAGCATTTTTAAAAGCATTTGCCAAGTGCTTTTCAAACGTCCTCGTGCTGATGAGCGTCTGATCACCGTGTCCCCTGTGTTCCTGTTGGGGAGATGAGGGTGTGGCAGGTTACGTATCTAGCTAAGAACACCCGTCTAGGCAGCGGGGGGAGTGGGGTGCTGTCAGCCAGGCTCCAAAGCCTGGGTGACTTGAGCCTCGTGTCTTGGCCCCTCAAAGGCAGGGCGAGGCCAGGCCTTCTGCACAGGGACGCTGCCGCCGCTTGAGCCCGAGACCATCCCAGCGGGTCCCAGAGGACGGAGGCTGCCGGCGCTCAGGTGCGGGCCTCACGTGCCCCCGCCCGACGTGGGACGCACAGTCGCCGAGGCCCACCATGCGCCGGGCGCACAGAGCAACTGTGGGGAAGAACCGCGATGGGAAGATGTTTAAGGTGTGCTAAAAAAGTAAATTGTAGATAATTATATACAGTGTTATTATGTGAACAAAACAAAACCACATGTTTTATATGTACATTTTTATAACTTCGTAAATACACAGGACGTTGAATTATATAAGGCAAGTGATAAGAAAAGTTACCTCTTGGGAGGGCAGATGGGTTGAGCCGGAGACAAGGGGTATTTTGCTGTATCTGTATTAGAGGAATTTTTATAATGGGAACGGACTTAATAAATAATTTATAACCCATCATGTTTAGATAGTCAAACATACATAACTTGTCTACTCCGGAGAGGAAGCGCGCACGCTGTTGGAGTGGGGCGACCCGGCGTGATTCCGGGCCGGACTCCTGCCGCCTAGGAGCTCTGTCGGTGCCCTTGGGCAGGTTACTTTCCCTGGCAAAGGCCTTTCCTTTCCTACAAAGTGTCACCAATCCCTCCGCGCACGCTGCCGAGAGAGCCTCTGAGAGCTGCTTGCGGAAGGGCAGGGGCACCGGAGGGCGAGGGCCCAGGAGACGCGGGGAGGCCCTCCGCTCTCCGCGGGCTGCTCCCGGTGGGGGTGCCCAGGACGGGCGCCCCTCCCGCCCCGCCGCTCTGATGCTCAGGCCGCACTGCTAGTCACTCGGCACCTCCCGGCTGTGAGCGCTGGAAAGACTGAGGAAGATCGCTGCGGAGGCCCTTCCTCGCCCGTCACTGACCCGATTCCCTCCTTTGCTGAGAGATGGAAACCGAAGCTCGCGGGGTAGAAGGGAGCAGAGGAGGGCAGCCGAGCAAGTGGGCGGCAGAGCTTCAGGCCGGGCCAGCCACGTCTCGACTTCCTCTCCAGGTCTCAAGCTGGCGTGCAGGGGAAATGCCTGGGCACCACAGGCCGAGGGGCCACCCGGGCTTGCTCGCTGCTCTCTCCTGGCAGAGGGTCCAGCGGGTGCATGTGGAATAAGTCAATGTCGATGACGAACAGTGTGGCACACATTGAGGACTGTAGCTTTAGAACTAGACGCCTGCATCCCTATTCCAAGCCCACACCTCCCAGGTCTGTGCCCCGGGCCGGTTCCCGGGTCTCCCGGCTGAGGGTCACTCATCCGTAGAGCAGGGGAATCTCTGTACCTTATCTTGTGAGGGTTTTAGGAGGATTACATGAAACCACGTAGACCACTTGCCACAGTGTCCAGCAGAAAAGAGCCCATTCAATGCTGGCTTGCTTTTATTACTGCTGTATCAGTACTATTATTAACTAAGGTATGCAGGTATGTTCTGGGGTGGGCTGGAAACCAAAGGGGAAGGGAAAAGAGAAACGTCATCTGAGTCAAATATAATAGTTAAAAATATAAAGCTTTCCTCCCCCTCTATATTATTGTCACTTCCCCTTTTTTCCAAAAAGTGTGCAATGCAACTTGTCATTTAACCACATTAATTTATAAAGTTTGGAAGTTCACCTCTGATAACCTCTCTGCAACGCTTCCTTCCCAGCTGCATAAGCCCCGGGGGGGAGGTGGGGAGCCCCTAATGGCCTCCTGACATTCACTCGTCTCCCTTTTGAACATGGAAGCATGGGGCAAACTCATAACGACCTTGTTTTGTTTCCATTTATTTATTTTATTGATAGCAAGCAGTGCCGATTTCCTTTTTTGGGTACTGGTATTTCTAAAAGCAATTTCTGTATGTGAAAATCTGAACTGACCTAAATAAAAATAAGAAGTAAATACTAGCACAGGCAGGACACGTATTTGGTAAAAATCCGGATGGAGGCCCCTGCCTGGCACAGGTCGGAACACTCACAGCAACCCTAGCAGCTTAGAGATTGTCTCCGTTTCGTAGGTTTACATGCGAAACAAGTGCCTGCCAAGGCCCAAGACGACGCGGTTTCCCCACCTCAGGCCTCCACATCCAGCCCTGTTTTGTTTAAATTCAAACCGAATATTCAGCCTGTTTTCTAGACTGGGTGGAAAAGATCACAAATTACAGCTAGAAGTAAATGCATTAGTCCTTCTTTTTCCCCACAGGCCCGTTGTTTCAAGGACTTTGATCAGTGTGAAGCAGGCACAGAGGAAGACAACACCGATGCCTCACCAGGGCAGCAACACCAGCCAGGAAAGTGGCAGCTCAGCGCCGAGGAGGAGGAGACATCGCTTTGCTATTGCTTGCAGACAATTGAAGGCGATTTGATTGGACGCCCTCCTCGCCCCTCCTGGACCCCCTCCCTCGTCCCATGCCCACACGCACCCCCACTTCCCAGCTACACAGCAGTTTGCTTCAGGACAGAGCAAGTTAGAAGCATAAAGTGGAAATGCTGCTGATGAGAAGATGAAATCTCAGAAAGAACAGGCTTTTCTACAAACACATACTTGGATGTGAGTCGAAGGAACTGGTTTTTAATCTCTTGCTTTCTAGCTGCCGATAGGAGCTGGACGGGGTGTTTCTGGGCTTCTACCTGGACAGCCCCGTGGGCTGGAGAGTCACGAAGAGAAGAGGCACAGGTGAAACCCCTTCATCCGGGCTCGGGGCGGTCCGGTTGCAGCATCCCCCGCCCCGGTGGCTGTCCAGGCCAGCCTGGCAGATGTGGCGGGGACCTGCGCTCCTCCTTCCCGGCAGCATCTCCTCCTGCCACTCAGGCTTCCTGGATGCCAGTGGCTTTCTCAGAGAAGAGGGCAAGATAGAGGTCCCCTCCTTCCTTGGACAAGCCCTGAGTCTGCCATGCACACGCTTGTGACCTGGATTCCTGGAAACCAGAGGTTTCTGTAATGCCGGGCTAGGATCTGTCCCAACAGAGCAAGTCTGCTCCTGCCCTGTGAACCTGCCCTATGAGCACCTGGGGCATCGCCTGCACCGTCCCAGCCCTGGTCCAAAAGGACAAGGCCTGCTTGTGAAGCCCTCTC